TCTGATTATCTGTTATCTCTGTATGCTCCTAGCTCTTGGTAAATAATAGCACAAAACTATATGTACTTTTAGTTAAACACAGTTTATAATTTTAATTTTGATTACAGTGGTACAGTTGACCTTGAAAGCAGTTCATTTCTAATTTACTTGATTTGGCTAAAAGATTCTCAGAAGATATGGGTGACATTTACATTTCTAATGTTTATAATTTTCTTCTGTAGCATCTTCTGGCTGGTTAGCTATTTTGTGTAGTTGTACTTACAGTTAAAAATACAATTATATAGTCCATGTGTCTGGATTGTTCATTTAAAACAGGACTATCTTCCTCTCATATAAGGGAATTAAGTACTCAATCCTGCCTTTACAATTTCTATACACTGTAAAAGAAAATGCATTCTTATAAAGAGGCATTTAACTATGCTTGGGACTTTTACAATTGACAGGATATGGGTGTGAGCTTTATTTCTTTATAATAGTTTCCAGATACAAAATAATGTGCATCCATCTGTGCAACTCAGCCAGGTGTGTTTGGAAGTTGGTTTGCAAGTTTTCAACATCACCAAACTTTAAAAGCCGTCAATGCTAATCTAGGAAGTGAAGTATTACTGATGCTCGGAAAAAGTTTTTGGAACCTAATTATTAACTACTACAGTTGAGATTTATTATAATAACAATTTAGGTCTGCTATTTATAAGAAGTTGTTGGTAATTATTGAGATCATAGCTGTGTACAATTAACTTTATAAAGATGTGTGAACTGGAATTCAGTTCTTCATTAACATTTTGACTTTGCAAACATTTCAACCCATAGGACACTTCAGACACAACAATATCACTATAAAGGATTGTATTTTGAAATACTTTTTGAAAAATGAATTTTCATATAGATTTTAAAAAATAAGATTAAAAAAATAATAGAGTGAACCTAGTAGTTAAAGCATACATACTAGGTGCAAGGCAGGAAGCAATTTTCTTTCCCTTAATACAGAAATGGGCAGTCTTTTTGTTTTTGAATTTAGAACTCATCCCATCCTCTGATTAGATATAAGAAATTATTCAGTGATGCAGTAAAATCAAAAGACAATGGGAAGTAGTTGGGATTATCTCCCAGAAACTTGATATGCCTTTTTTCAGCCTTACAACTGAGATTTGCTTGGAAGTCATCTGTCAGGGACCATCTTCTCTGAGACAAGCACAATAATATTAAGAAAGAAAGTTGACCAAGTGCTTGGAGAGTTTGGTCCAAGTGAGAAGCTGGTGTAGGAGCTTTTGTGAACACCGGAAATAACAACCTTGAGGCTGACAGAGAACTTCCAAGAAAGCTTTATGTAATCTCTGGTACAGTGAAGTTTTTCCAACACTGCTTCTTCTCAACTATATTTGAATTAGGCTGGTGTGTTTGTGTCCTTGATCTGTTGTACAATTTCCTACCCATTTTCCTGGCATCCATTTCTGTTTTGCTGTCCCTTTTCTCTGATTTGTCTATCCAGTTTGGTTTGGATAACTTTTGGAACAGTTGTTCCTTGAGAGAGAAAAAAAATGTTTTTGCATTTGTTTCTCCTGGCTACAGTAGTTAGTTTTATTTCCCTAGAGACTGTAAGAGATTTAAACTGACTTTTGAGCCACCAAGAAAGAAAAGCCTACCCATAAATTGAATGCTAATTGACATTTAAGGATCATGAAATAGACTTTGCATGAAATAGGCTTTTCAGTGGCCTCTTTAACTGTGTATTCTATATTTTTAGTGGAAGGGCTACAGATTAATCAGGTATTGGTAGAAAGAATATCTTGTGATGCAGAAGCGGGCATAGATGTTCCTAAGTGATTTGTGAAAAATCTTAGTGTGAATAGTTTGCTTGTTTTGCCCAGCAGGTTTACATTTACAAATAGGAGCCAGGATTTTGCAGGAACTGAAAGTAGCCAATATTTCAAACAGCTGCCAGCCCCCAAACTGAAGATCTTGAGAATTACAAAATATGAACTCTCTGCTCATTTGTAAAACACTTTCAGCTCTTTCAAACATGTTATTTCCCCAAATATCTTCAAGGAAAGTGGAATGAACATATTTTATTAACATCCAGGATGCTCATACGATATCATGATATCGCATGATGTGATGTAAAAAAAAAAATCCTAGATCTCCAAATAAGTTGCTTATCTGCACTGTTGTGCCTATGGATGCTTCCTTCAGAATCCAAGTTGGCATTCTGCAGAATATTAACCTTCAGCATCAATATAAATGTTCTCTGGAAATAGAAATGATAACTGTCTGAAGCTCAGTGCTTTGTTTAAAATTACGCCCACTTCTTCTCTAGAAGATGAAAGAAAATTGGAATGATACGCAGTTTTTAGAGAGTTGAGAGGGAGCAGAGAACAATATCAGTGGTTTGCCTGCTGGTTGATGGTGTTTTATGAATGTTCCTAAAATTTCAAATGTGCTTTCCAGCCCTAAATAGTTGCGACTCTTGGATGCTTTACATTGCATTGTCAAGCTGAAAACAGATAGCTCAGCAAATTAAATGCATTCTGAATAAGCAAGCTTTAATATTAATTATATAACCAGTCATGTTTTGTTTATTTTTAATTTCAAACTCTCTGCTTCTTAAAATACCTCCCTGATTGATTGATTGTATGCTTATCTTGTGATGGCTCTTTGGTTTCTTGATGTAATAATGTCTTCTTTGTCCTCTTCCCCTCCACCTTGTGGATATTTGCTCTTGCCTAAAAGCATAAAATGTATTTTTTTCAATCTCACCTTTTAAGTAGCAACAGTCTTCCATCTTAAATGAGGAAATGTAACAATATCGTTATCTTTAGTATGATGTTTTCCTCCACAGGAAAACAGTGGTACCACTTTTTCTTGCTACTGTCAATAGCTTGACTGTAATAATTTGAAGCGGACTCTATAATTTTTTCCCACCCAGGAGGGTCAAATTCCGGCTCATCCTGCTTAGTAAATAGTACCAATCCGACTGAAATTAGGCATTTTACCTGAAGCTAGCAAAAAAAGTGAACCAACTCAAGTTTACCTGTAGCTTACTTCAATCCAAAGAGAAACCTTATTAAAACTATCTCTTTGAATGTGGCAAAATGGTCCATGTTTGTACAGTGTGCCTTTAAACTTTACCCAGAGTCAGATATATAGAATCATGAAATTAAAAGAATGCTCAAAGGTCACTGAGCTTAACCTGTTACTGGAGCAAGAAATCCATTACGATTACATCTCAGGCTGAGGACTCTAATATTAAACTCCATTTCACTCAATTTTTCAAGTAATTGCAATTTTGGCAAATATTATTTTTAAGACTACCACATTCTTTGTTCGTCTATTCCATAGCTTTTCAAATCCTTTTCTATGATGAGATTTTCCTTAAAGAACAGACCACACAACTCCAGCCAGTTTGTCTGCAGTTTTCAAGAGGTTGAACAGGACTTTCTTTGGAATGAGGCAAACACAGGGTGGTGTGCTTTCTTGGCTAGCTTGAGGCAAAATGCTTTGTTTCAACTGGATTTGTACTGTTTACTAGTTGGACAAATGGATCCAATGATTGTAGCTTGGCACTGCAGAAGAAGAGGTCAGTCCGATGGCCTCCAATGATTATAGTTAATTAGACTAAGAAATAAAGATTCAGGTTTTCCACAAGTCCATGAATCTCCACATTCCTTTTTTCTGCATAGTATTTGGCATTTGAATCATGACTCTGCTTGAATGGAGGCCAGAGGAAAAGCACAAGCCTGACTCAGTGCAGACATCGAGCTTTACAGTCTTGAAGTATCTGGAGAAAAATTGAGGTTTAAATGAAAAGAAAGAAATTTAGGAGTCAGAATCTCACTTCATTAAATGTAAAATCCCCCCCCCCCAAAAAAAAACCAACAACAACCCTGTAGTATCACAACAGTGACTCTTACAAGAGCATGGGACTTACAGATTTATTTTAATATAATTCAGAGTCAAGAAACAAATAAAATGTAATTGAAATAAAGCTTTTGAAGTTCCATATATCTTGTTTTGAATTTTTTACAGCAGCTTCTTATCAATACTGACAAACCATTAGTGGCCAAGTTATTCTGTGTGTTTAACAATCCAGAATGCCACCTTGGTGTTTCGTTGGCATTATGGATGACTTCACTTTTTTGAAGCTGCTGTTTTCTAAACTAAACATCTGAATTATAGAACACAGCATTAATTGATCTTCTGGCAGAGGGAGGCTTCAATAAAATGAAACATGAACAGGATGAAAAGAAAGTATTTGTCAATAATGTGTACATGTGTTTGTGTATATATAGCTGTATATTATTATGTATATTAGGAACTACAGTATACAAGAACTAAACAGAACAGAATAACAGAGTTGGAAGGGACCTTGGATGTCTTGTACTCCAATCCCTTGCTCAGATAGGAAACCCCTATACCATTACAGATAAGTGGCTGTCCAATCTCTTCTGAAAAGCCTCCAGTGATGGAGCATCCACAATTTCTGAAGGCAAGCTGTTCCACTGGTTTATTGTCCTCACTGTTAAGAAATTTCTCCTTAGTTCTTGATCACTTCTCGCCTTGATTAGTAAAACAAACGTCATTCTCTTATTATTTGAAATAGTAAACTTCACCTTGGATTCCTTTCCTATTGTATAAAATTCAACTCCCAGAATTCTCAGAACACCAGGGGGGAAAAAACTCTGATTAAGAATTTTGAAAATTGAAGATATTATTTTACAATCTGGATTATGGAAGTACACATACATAAAGGTTTTTTTTCTTTTCTTCTTTTCAGAAAAAAAGGATTTAAACTGTGCAAAAGAAGGAGTTACTGCTGTCTTAATCACACACAAAAAGAACCATATGACAGTATGGTGTGATTGTAGTGTTAGCAAATGTTTCAGAGAAATGTTTCAGAGAAATATTTAGAAACTTCAGGCTAAGTTGCATAAAACATAAGTTTGGATAACCTTTATTTCTGATTTTAATCCATGATCTGTTTTTTTTCTCCATTTCTTTTGCAGGAAATCCAAGGGAAAACCAAATGGTAAAAAGCCTGCAGCAGAAGAAAAGAAACTGTATCTTGAACCAGAATATACGAAGTCCAGGATTACTGATTTTGAATTCAAAGAATTAGTTATATTACCACGTGAAATAGATCTTAATGAGTGGCTAGCTAGCAACAGTAAGTATTATGATATTTGCAACAACTGAACATAGTGCTAGTTGTTTTTCATAATCAAAGATGTTCTTAAGTAAAAGAGTAGATAAAGGCAGGCTATTAATGTTCATCAAAATGCAAATAATCTTTGCATTCAGATTGATATTTATTTTAAAAATGCTGTATTCTGAGTTTTTGAAACAAAATCTTTCGGATTTGGCTCATTTGCTTCAGTGCTGGGGGATGGTATAGAGGTAACCTTGGAAACAGGTTGTCATGTTTGTATGGATTCTTTTCAGCTCCTAGATCTCAAGGATGTGGACAAGACAGAAAGAGAGAGCCACCACTTACTTGCTCAATGTTTTGTCTTCCCCACCCCACCCACTTCCACCAGATTAAATCAGCTGCTTTTGGACCGGACCTGTGACAAATAAAAATGCTCAGTGCCTCCTTCCATGTGAAACGTGTTCTTTTCCCACTTTCAGAGGTGGACTGAAATCTAGCAACCATTTCTCTAACATGTTCAGATTATGCCATTTCACAAGAAACAAGTCTCTCCCCCCCCCTCCCCCCCCCATCCAAAAGCATGAGAAAAATTAAGGAGAATCTTGTCTTCCTGACAGCTAGCTGGAAAAGGATATTCCTGAAATCCAAGCTTGAATTCCTGCTTGGATTGTGGGAGTGATCCTTTTCAGCCAGCTTTTTTGCTTTGCAGAGTGTCTATGTAAATCCTCAAGCATCCAGGTCATGGTTGTCCCAAAGGTAATTTAAAAAGGCAACTGCACTTTCTTAGTGTTTTTCCTTGAAAATGTTTAGCTTCTCATCCAAGAAGCTTCTTTTTGAACTGAAAAATGTGAGGAGCCCTCTATCAGCTGACGAGAGCAGCATGGGAGGGAGCCTATTTGTACATGTGTGTATATGAGTCTTGTGCTATAAGCGGGGGGGGGGGTAGTATGTGGGGAGAGGGCAGCTGGGAATTTTGCTGGTGCTGAGAGCTTTCCCTTCCAAGGATCATGGTGAGGACAATGGAAAGTGTCTGGTCCCTGGTCTTTGTGGACTTGGTTTTGAGGATGAGGCTGCCAAGGGGATAGACAAGCACCATGAAGAAGTATTGTGTGAGACAGGGAGTGGGTCATTCACCAGGAACACAGAATCATTGTCTTATACTAGTTTCACATTCCAGTTCTTAGTCTCTATCAGTTATGTGTGCTCCCAGAACAGCACTTCTAGTATTATATCTCTGGCCCGCAAGCTGCATTGGCTTTTGAGTTCAATTCAGGGGCCTGTTTTTAACCTTTGAAGCCCCTCACGACATGGGACCACATTGTCTGAATGCTCTCCAATTACATTGGCCCACCCCGTTGGATTTACCAGAGCAAGAAGTTGCAAATACCATCCATCAGGGGGTTTATTTGGTGGATCCCAGGAAGCAGGCCTTCTCTGCTATAACACCTGTCCTATGGACCACTCTTTTCCTCCCACCCCCAAAGTCAGATTAGCTCTATCCCTGTTATGATTCCAGAACTCCCTCAAACTTGGTTATGTCATCAGACTTGGGGGGCGGGACTCAGGGCACTGGGAATACTCCTACATGGCTCCATTTTAGATGATTCTTTACTCTCTTTGTAAATGGCTTTATAGATTTTATTTTTATAATGACTTTATTTTTATGTTGATTTTGTTTTATAGTAACTATTTTATGTATTTGTTGCTTTTATTTATTGTTGTATGCCTCCCACTCCTATGAGATGGTTGACCATATAAATGAGATAGGATAGGATAGGATAGGATAGGATAGGATAGGATAGGATAGGA